GTTTCAAAACAATGACCCATAATTTTTTTTTTAAAAAAAAGGGTAAATCGGATCAATTGAAAAATCAGACAAATTTTTAGTTGAACCACCGGGTTAAATGGGTTTGTTCGGGTTTGACTGGATCAATTTTTTATCCGATTAAACTAGAGACCGGGCCTTGGCCCGGGCTAATGCCTGGGTCATTAGAACGGCCGATTCAATTGTTAGGTCAGACTGGATTTAATAACTATGGATTACAGGCAAATCTAGAGTGCACTTTTCTTATTAATTATGAGTAATCAACGAGTATGATATGGACAGAACCATAGCATAACTCCAAATCGGTTGGCCAGTCCCTTAGAGAAACGGTTGGTTGCGATGTCTCCCTTGAAATTTATTTTATAGATTTAAGTGGGCCGTTCTATTAATTAGGCGAACATTAAGAATGAAAAATGGTTCTACCGGTTTAAAAAGATGCTTGAGTCCAAGATTGAGATAGTAATTGTCAAGGTTGAGATAGTAAGAGTTAGAAGTAGTAGGTTCTAAGTCTCACAAAATATGAGTTTCTTTTAATTACTCGTTAGTTTTCATCTCAGTAATTGTGGTAATTAGTCATGTTATTGAATCATAGTCCGTATTTATTGACTTTACAATTATGAATTAATTGTAATCATATTAAAAAAAAAAGAAAAAAAGAAAAGAAAAAGAGAAGGAGCAACTAAATTTGGCTGCAAATAATTTGCTCCAAATTGTCAATTTTGGACTCGTAAAGCCAAAACTTCCTCTCTTTTTTTTTTTTTTTTTTTTGTTTGCTAGAATTGTTCGTAGATTCATAGTTAAGAACCGTAGCTTTAAACCCAAGATTAGGACAAGACGAAAATGAAAGTATGGTATAGATTCATTGGTTGCTTTTCAAGTGTTACTTTATGCTTCTGCAAGAACGAGAAAATCAACAAATATTCACAATAAAAAGTTGATTATTCTCATTTCAGAGCTTAAAATTTAAAATGTGACTTGATATTGATCTAATCTCTTCAATATTGTAAAATAAGTTAGGATATGAAGATAATTGCAGCTTTCAGTTTTAGACACACATGAAATATGCGTTACTACTATCAAGGATTTGGATTTAGAAACACCTATTTTTCGGGAATTTATTCAAAAATAAAGAAAGAAAGAAAGAAAGACACACTCAACTCAAATCATACCTCGAGCAGACCTTTGTCTAGTAATGTTAAAATCTCAAAAATTAAAGATTTCGAGTTCAAATTCTCCGTGACTCTTCCTGTTTCCTAAATTTCACTCGTACCAAACTAAAAGAAAAAAAAAAAAACCCTCAAATCACACGAACATGGCATGAAAATACAAAATAGGGCTGAGAGAGACAGAAGAAAACGCGGTGAGCTAGTGCCACAGCCGGCACTTGTTTAACGTCAACTCTAAACAAAGCCGCGTAGTTACTTAGTAGAGAGGATGTATACTTACCGACATCGAATGCGTAATTTGTGTTCTTTCTACAAAGAGATTACTTAGTAATTTTGACCCTTGAGACAACTACGGATACTTACAACTACCCTTCTCTTCTAAGAAGAGTAGAGAATTCTATTAATCCATTGACAATTCTATTTGGATGGTTTTTTTTTTTCTTTGGAGTAATTTTAGAAAATTTATATTGAAAATGTTAGGAAATTGGCTTAATTTCTTTTAGACATATTTCTTGTTTTGTATGGAAGTAACTAGTTTTCTAATTGGTTTTAGTTACTCGAAATAGTAGTCAAGGAATTTTCTATTTTGTTTAGGATTAGAAGTTATTTTCTATTCTGTACAAGTTTAGGAATTAAAATTGATTTCCTATTGTTATTTGGGTTTTGACCAAATAATAATGTTATCTATAAATAGGTGGGTTGACATACTACACAAGAGACACGAGAAGAGTCTAATTTGTAGAAGAAACCAAGACAATTGGACCAATTTCTTTTGCTTTGGTGAAGGTTTGTTAGCATGGCATCCTCCTCAATCATTACCTAATATTGGTCTCTACCGGATTTTAGAATGGGGGTACAAACTTTAACAATACTTTGGGTGTTATTTTACGAAGCTCAAAAAAATTAATCAGCTAAACAAAAAAGGGGAAAAAATTCCAGAAAGCTACAAACTAGCTGATGCATCAAGAAGAAAAGAGAAAAATGACAGATGAAGCTAACCTATGTATTTCAGTTGCAATAAGCAGTGAAGGAACCAAATTCAAGTGTAGGTGGGTAATTGCCCCATCTTAACTCTGAGGAATTTTCATTTTATCCTATAATTGCACCCCTCTGAAAGTTTCTATGTTCCTTTACTTTGCCCCCTAATGTTCTTGATGTTTCCAATGAACACTTAGTTTATAAATGATGGCATGAAACCAAGTACTGGTTGAAAATCTAGGGAAAAAAAAAAGAATTTTAAAACTTTTGGTACTTGAAAATGAATGTAAAGATTTTGTTGTCTACTGTACAAAAAATTATTGTCATTTAGTTTTTTTAATAAATTTTAGGCAATTGTCATACTGGTAATTAAATCATGTTGAAATACGTTGAAATTAACGTTTTACCCTATGAGTTAGTACTTTTCAGTTTGACTTGAAAGAAACGAAATTATGATGAGATTTGGCCATTTAGCTCCAAGTATGTCATTTGTCTAAGTAGCCTAACACCGACTCCTTTTCATTGCGGAACAACCTGACAATACCAATTTGTAGTTGACCTCTGATTTTCATAAGCCAGTCAAAATACTTCTGTATCTTCAAAAAGATCACTGAGAAAATTAAAATTTGTATTCCCCCGAAATTTTCTGAAAAATTAAACATAAAATCCTTAAATGTGACGCATATAATATTTTTTTTCTCTCATTCTGAGATGGAGCTGCGATGAATCCACGGCCTAAAATTAAGTTTTGACTTGTCAAACTTAAACACTATAATCTATCTGTACATACACAATTATACAACATAATCAAAGAAAATAATAACTTCTCAGTACGTTACTTTCCAAAAAAAATACATTTTTTAATTCTCTTTCCGCTTCACACTTCAAAAAATAGTAATCCAAACGGGCTTTCTTTCTTGTCAATCACCATGTACACTAATACAAGAGTAACCAATTTTGAAACAAGTGAACACCTTTGATATGACAGGATGAGAGGATTTAAATTTCACCTATCCATGTAGTTGATGTTTAACCAGAAATCCCTACTTTATTTTGGCTATGTGTTTTCTATCCTGTTCTGTCACATTTTTTGCTGTTTAATTCTCCAACCATAACTTTTTTTTTTAGCTGAATTCTCAAAAGTGTCATTCACCTGTTGGCAAGTCATGTAAAATACTCATATATATATATATATAGGGATCCCTATTTTCCACTATATTGTTTCTTTCGCATTTCTCGAATAAACTTTGAGACTTGAAGCTGGTAGAACTGTAGAAGTGTGCAACCAGGTGCAAGCTCATAACGCGTATCGATCCCAACACACAACTGGCACGTATTGTTTGAAATCAATGGCCTTATCAAGAATAGTTGCTATAATGTCTCAATCAATAAGAAAGACGAAAGAAAAAAAAAAAGAAACTTCATTTGAACTTATGATAAGCTTTCCAAAAAAGTGATTAGATTCATAATTGCGTAAAAAAAAGATGTTATTTCCAAGCTCATCCTGTAAATATATATATATATAAAAAAAAAGGACCTACCAAAGACTCAAAAAAAAAAAAGAAAAGATTTCGCTGTCACTATAAATTTTGAGTCAGTCTGTAATGCTCACAAATATATTAAATTCTTCTTCAGGAGTTAAAAATTTGTAAGTGTAGTATATTGCATCCTCTAGTACCCCTGAAAATTAAGAAGTTGGTGGAGGTTCATTTTCACCAAGCAATTTCTTTTCAGTGCATGAAATGAAAGTGGAAGCCCACATGGCTAAAGTTTCCTGGAACAACACGTCCATATGTGCTTGGTTGAGATAAACCTATCACACTCCCGGTCAATCATCACACGCTCTCTACTCGTCCAGATCTATCCGCCAATTTGACCTCTTCTGCCACATTCCAAATTTTATTTTGGGTAAATTCCACTTTACCCCCCTGTGGTTTAGCATTTTTTCACATAACCCCCCTATAGTTTCAAAAGCTATACATAACCCCCTCATGGTTTGGATTAAAGTGTCAAAGTAACAGAAATAGTCACTCGTAACGGAACTTCTAAAAATGTCGAAATTACCCTTATAAATACATGACACATTAACCCCCTATGATTTTTATATTTTACCATATAACCCCCTTATGGTTTAATACTTTACCATATAACCCCCTTATGATTTTCAAAATATACACATAACCCCCCTTGGTTAATACATAAATTTCAACCTTACATAAGGGTATTTTTGACATTTTAGGTGACGCCGTTACGAGTGATCATTTCCGTTACTTTGACACTTTAATCCAAACCATGAGGGGGTTATGTATAGCTTTTGAAACCACAGGGGGGTTATGTGAAAAAACGCTAAATCACAAGGGGGTAAAGTGGAGTTTGCCCTTTTATTTTTTTTCCCTTGTCACGAAAATAAATTTGATAGAAAGATCCCACATCTGATTTTATTTTTTTGGGTCCCAAAATTGTGGATACATTGAACTAGCAACAGTTTCCTGCCGGTTAAATTAATCCCCTATTGCCTTCTTACTTCTTAAATTCTATCCTTCCCGTATTAGAAAAAAAAAAAACAGTTTTCTGTCCAAATTCTTTTGCACTAATAATTAAACTTGCACCATCATGCATTAGATTCTTGTTTACCAAACTCCATACCACTTAATTACTTACAGTTTATGTGAAAAAAGTGACTATAAACATCATATATGTGGGAAAAATACATGTAGCTGTACATACTTTAAGATAGGAGGCTATACAAGAATTGATTTTCAACTTTTTATTTATCCCAACGGCTCCTTTATGCCTGCTGGACTATAAATAGGGAAACATGGAATTTATGCTTCTTGCTTGTTGTATATGTACAGCTTCATTAGCCGTTGGCTGGCCACTTCAACTACATCAATCCAAATGACCCTTTCTCCTTAAATCTCCTATAGCATCTAAGAACCTTCCACAACGCTCCAAAACAAGCAAGCCATAGCCAACATACTTAAAGTCAAAGACCGTAGATAGCCAAACTCCCATATAGATTCTCCTCTATATAGCCCCAAGAGTTTCCTATAGGCTCGCTAGAAGCTTTCACACACATATTCTTAGAAGAAAGCTCGTTATGGACTGCATAATTTTGCCAGTTGCAATATTGAGAAAGTGTTATTCGGGCTCACGACTTGGCTACCGGCAGCTGACGGATGATGTCTTTGGCAAGTCTGATGATCCGGTGACCGTCGTGGTTGGAAGGAGAAGAGGGAATTTTTGGTTGAGCCTTTTGTATTAGAAGAAAGCCCTTTCAGGGTTCTGATTGATATGGTGAAGAAGGAAAATATGGGAGGAGTGGTGTACATGAAGGGAGCTAAAAGAGTGATATTTGTGGATGTTGATGCAATTTTGTTTGAGCATATGTTGTGGCTGATGCAAAATGATTGTTCTTCCTTCTTTCAACTTAACCTCAAAGAGATTATTGACTTCTATGCACAAGAGAATTAATCAGGGGTTCGCTATACAAGCTAGTCATGAAGGTACGCAATAGATAAGGAGTCCATTTGGATTAAAGATCATTTGAATTTTTTTCGTATTATTTATTGTAACACTCATCTAATGTAATATATGTGAGATAAAAAAGTACCTTACAAATGTGTTTTGTGAATAATAAGAAATTTTTTTCATTGTATGTATATGTTGATTATGAATCTAAAGAATATGCTTCTTAGCTAGTCCTTCACCTTTTGGCCTTCCCAATTGTTGAATATTCTTCTAATCTTGATTTTGTGTTATTTTCACAGGGGGAAGATTGGCCTATATATTAAGGCTGATGTTTTAGATGTGATGTCCATGGCATTGGCTTGACCACAGGGGGACCTGCAAAGGAGCAAGAGAAAGCTGTCTAATTCTGAAATTTTATTTTTCCATCCGGCAACTTTCTTTAACCATTAGTGTGTGTATATAATTTCAGTCTCACACATGGGCTTCAACCAAAAGTAAAGAAGAAAAGTGAAAGTTCTCATATATGTACTTGATGTTGGTGGTGGATAATTAATTGTTGCTCTTGCTGTTTGAGGGAAGGTAACATGATGTATACTTTTTTTTTTTCCGGAATAAAAGGATAGTACAATATATGAGCAAGGACTCAATTTGGACTTTATAAAAGTGTACTAAGACACAGAGGGTCTAGATAACATGATGTATACTTGAATATTGATATTTATTACAATTGAAGTTTCCTCTTGATTTCTTAATGCTGTTCACGTGATTTAACATCGAGTGGTCATGCAAATTCATGTAGCAGATTGACATTTTCTGCAACATAATACCACAAATGAAAACTTTTCATTCTTGTGGGTCAAGGACAAATGCTATTAGGAAATTTGGTTTATTTTCATGAGTAATTTAAGAGCATCTAAAATTATCCCCACGGTATGAAAGTTAAAAAAAAAAAAAAAGTTCCATTCTTCCATTTCCTCCGATGTTGACTACAATTTTGATCATAGCAAACGTTAGACCACTTATTCGACCAGACAAAGATCTTGCATCTGGAGTTTCTGCAGATATAATCATACGGATGCATCTAGCACTCAGTCATACTTAATTTCAGTCCATGCCTGTTCCGTATGGGTATTAAACTTAGCTATTCATAAAAATGGATGAATTTCTTGATGAACATAAGTGTACAGAAACAATAGGTTGAGTCCCTTTTTATAAGATAGCAATTGGAGACCGCCTTTGATTTAAATTACGAGTTAAGAAATCAGAAAGAAGGGGAAAAAAAATCAGAAAGAATTAAGGGGTGTGGGGTGTTTGGTAAATGGAAATGAGGGGCAGAAAATGATATCAAAGTTAACAATACTTGTAACCTATTGTTTGGTGATCATTATGGGAAACATTTAATAGGATTGAAAGTATTAGATCTAACCTCATGGTATTCTCCAGTTATACTTTGAATTTCAAATTCATTAACTTTTAATAGAATAAAATCCATTCCGCCCTAAACCAAGCATGCAAGTGTGAATGATCAATCACTATAGTCGGTTCAATGGTTAAGAGAGAATTCTTGAATTTTTTTTTTCACTTTTTAGTTTAGAATTCGAATATTGTATTTCACAATTGGAGTGGAAGAGTGCGAAGAGAGATGGGAGGACTCGGAAGAAAATGGTGAATGGTCAAAATGCATACTAGGTTTATGATTATGACAAAGAGGGTGGCATTCCCCTGAATCAAACGTGGGCATATCATCCTGTATTTCCCTATAAAAAGAGTTTGCTTTGGAGTTCAGTTTCGTACATCAGTTTGTCATGAAATTGAAATTAGTTCATAACTTTGTCTTTGGTATTGCAAAGGTCAAATGAACTCCCAATAGAGGAGTTGGCCACCATCAAGGCTTTAAAATTTGATAGGATTGCCTCCCACTAATTGCCATAAATGTGGTTCTTCAAATCCAGACGAGTGTGTAGTTAATCCTTCTGGTCCAATGGTGATTCAGTCCCCATCGGCCCTTCCATAGATTGAGTTGGGTCTCCCCCTAAAATAGGATAGAGTAAAAGTAGAAGTAGGAGTAGATGTTGAATAGACTATTACGAGTGTCGAAAAAAAAAAGTATTTCAAAGGTCAAATGACGTAACTTATGCTAAATAGATGTAGTAAAATTTATGCTTCAATTTAAGAGACAAATACTTTATTGTAGAATCATTTTTTTGAAAGAAGTCTTTTGTCTGAACTACGCAACTCATACTTGTAGTAATAAGTTTTGTTTCCCTTTTTTTTTTAATTTAATCTTTATGCTCGAGTATTGATTAAAAAAAAAGTAAAAAGAAAGAATTGAGCACTTTTGCACTGGCTTGTTGCTTATTCTACATAATTTTTATTTTAAATGTTTTGGTTCCTTTAAAAATTAGAATTTTAGAACTGGAACATTTTATATCAAGCCGCATTTCCACGGGCTACTATTTTATTCACGGCAATTTCAATTGACTATATATGAAATGAAAATCTGATAATGTTAGTGACCAAAACAACTGACTAGGTCTCTCCTAACTTTTTCATCTCGCTGGCTTTTTGTTTGTTTAAATGCATTAAGGCCCACTAAAGTTAGGCAGGGTTTGGGGTTTCCGGCCTAATGTAATGTTCCTTTTGTTGTATTTTCCCTACTTTACTAATGGCTAGCACTAACAATTTTGTGAAAATGCGTAATGCCCACAAATTGACAACTAGTTGAAACAATACCAAAAAAGAAGATACAATTTTTTTTTTTGAGAAAATTTACCTAAAAGTTGGATCCAACCACTTTAAAAAAAGTCACATACCTTTGGAATTTAAGGTAAATGTAAGAACAAAATAATTTTGCGTGCGAACTGTGTAAGAATAAAGTCATTTCATGTAGGAAAAAATTTTAATTTAATAACTATTGTAAAAGAATATTATGTAATTTTAACAACAAAACATATTATTTCACAATTTTCAAATGTCAACAACATGTATACGAGATATTTTACCATATTTGCATATCACATCCGCTTATTTTGTTCAAAATTTGAGGATGAATATTTGAACTATAGCAAGATCTCGAATTTACTGAAGTTTGTGATATGTTCCTTTTTTATTTAAAAATGCAAGTGCAATATTTTCCGAATTTAGTTCTTTATTTTTCAGAAAGAAAAGAAAAGATTTGCCGACGAAAATAAGTGATACGACAAATTCAGGCAACAAAGAGAAGAATGGAAAAAAAAAAAAAAGAAGAAATAAGGACAAAATTGAAACTTTCAACATCTTTCAACATACAAAACTGATGGGACTTAATAGAAAGGACAAAATGCAGAAAAAATAATGAGTAGAGAAAGTGCAAACACACCAAACGTTATGGAGACTTAGCGTATTTAACTCTTTGTTTCAAGCAAAGAAACCTAACAATCAAAATGGGACAGCAAAATGAACAGATATATGGCTGCTTAAGGTCATCATCTGCCTGACCAGAATGGCACAGTTTGTGGGTTAAATTGACACATCTATAGGGCCTCAATACCTTGCGATTCCGATGATGAGCTTCATAATTAACACCATTTTTGTTTAACAACTTCGATGAGCAAAGCCCAGCTACAACAACAAATGTTTAAGTGCTGCAAAAATTGCCAAGGCCCAGAAGACAATTTCAACTTTTGATTTGTATATTTTGGGTTGACCAATATCTAGATTTTGGTCTTGTTCAGTGCTTATATCCAACATCCAAATATTGTCTTGTCTACCTTAAATGGACTTGGCTTAAACCAGTGGATAATATATGGTCGGAGCATATATGCCTGCATTCTAAATAATTTTTTTTTAGAAATTTTGCAACGGATGCACGTAGACACTTTGGTTGTGTGTTCACGATTTTCTTCCTCTTTAGTCCCCTTTTCTCTAATACAGAGTAGAAAGGTGTATATAAAATCTATCGTATCGAAAAAAAAAGCAAAAAATCTCCACATAATATACTTGAAAATAGGAATTACATCAACAAAACCATGGTATGATATTTTTTTGCCACATAGAATTGATCTTATCTAGGATAACCAAATGCAAACTCAATATAAAGTTTGAAGGAATCGCATTTTGTCATGTATACCACTTTGCCAAACAGGGATTAGTAGTAGTAGTAGATATAATTAGAGACTATTTCTTGAATGGAGAAGGAGATTATGCTTTTGGCCTTCCCATGGTGGACGGTTTTGTTGGTCATATGATTTGGGGTTGAGGTCGTAAATTTCCGGATGTTCTTCTACAAGTTGAGGTAAGAAAAATGGGAGAAAAGCCAGTTCTTGGTGCAATCGCTAGAGCTAATAAACATTTCAGTGTTTAAGAATGGTATGGTGTAACAACGCATGATGCAGATTTTGGCAATGTTGAAGAATGTTAAATCAGTTTTGTTCATGCATAACGTTGATTTGAACAATGCTGAACGCGTTCATAGAGGTCATATATGCGTTGGATCCAGTCATGGTTGATTACCCTCTTCTCTCTATCTTATCTCAAACTTTAGCAGATTTCGTCAATAGAAAGATGATCTCAGGGCTGACGAAAAATCCACAGAGTTTAAGGCCTTTGGTTTTGCAATTTGGGTGAGCAAGACTCTATATTGCACATCGAATCCAAATTACAAGGGGCAACAACCAATAGTAACAAAGGGCCTGTTATCATTTGTTTCTTGAACTAGCTATCTGTTTGGTGTCCTAACCAGAGGTTCTTCTTCAAATCTAGTTCCAAAACCATCAAATCCTTTGTCCAAATAAAATCAAAATCGTTCATGTTGCATAATCTTATCATCTCATGAACCTTTCACTTTGCAGTAATGGGGCTCTTCTAATTCAATAATACTATGTGCTTTTCATGACATCTCACACATACATTGCTGGCAGGAATATGAGTTAAGCCAATCTCTTTCTTTGTCTGTCCTAAGCTGTACCTGATATGTTTAATTAATGCAAAGTTGATGTAATTTGCCTCTTTCAAAACTACTACTACATAAATGTTAGGTCCACCTTTATTTTCTTAACCTGAACAGACAAAATTGTAGCATCACCTGAGAAACTTGTGGTCAACTCTTTGACTTCTCAGCCAACAGCAAATCTATAGCAAAACGACTAGTATATGATTCCATCAACTGCTATTCTATTTCCACAACTATCAGTTTGTAACAAGTGTGCAAGATTGTGGTCGAATTGAATTGCACTCCCTTCGATTTACAAATGATAAAGAACAAAAGTTTGTATATTAATTCGTACATATAAATCAAGTGTATATTGGTCCACATCTCTATTTCCAACCGTGAGGTGAAAGTGACACGCTAATTTGAGGTTTTAATTATTCAAATATCACTATAAAATGCCCCAATTAGCAGTCCCAGGACTAGATGTGGCCAAATTCTTCCACTGTACACATGTACGTAAATATGCCTAAAACAAAGTCAATTCGGAATTTTAAAATCAAAGTCTTCCACAATAATTCATCTATCATCAGTTATCAAGGACAAATAACAAGAAATTCAAAGATTCTTGCTGCATTTGTTCTTAAAATATGTTGTAAACAAGCAACAATAATTAGTTGCGACTTAGCCCGCTCGCGGGTTAATTATGCAAACCGTGTTTCTCGACAAAATATGCTTTGTGCAAGATGTTGAAATAATTAGCTTTGAGCTTTGCTAATAGAAAATAGCTAGAAAAAGTAGAAGAAATTTAATGGGAGCTCATTAGTACGGTAGGGGCGGTATGCTGGTGTTATACGTGCAATAATTTCTTGCCTAGCTAGTTAAGCTTGTATGGATGCTAGACTGTTGGTTAATATATTTGTTGTACTAAACAAGATCCAGTTTCTCCCTTAAATCTTGTAAAACCAGGTTGGCAGCTAAAATCACGGTATAGCTGCAAAAGTCTCAAATCAAGTTATTTTATGTAGCCCATAGGTGTCGATCGAGGGGTCTGGCAAAAGAAGAGGGCATACATATAGATTCTGCTCTGGTCATTTTAGCGATCTATACCTATTTCAACACCACCCCACAAAGATCTAGGTGCTCTGACATCAAGTTACTTGTGTGCTTCAAACGGATTCAGTATACTTGTTCTTGCAGGCAATAGCTGGAAGTCTGGTATGGTTGTTTCAGCTATTTTACCCTTGTCCATGCACGTCTAAGGGTTCCGGCCTCAACCGTTGAAGTTGCCAAATAAAATACTTTACATTTTGCAGGTTGGTTTTATCATTTTCGCGCTTCATTCTTTCAATCTCAGACAAAAAATAAGGCATGTTAACATGTCTGTAACTCAGATTAGGTTGTTTATGGTGTAATGAGCAAAAATGTACAGTAATTAAGTCCATAAAATCGTACTTTACAGTGATTTATATAGTTGGTGAAAAGAAAATAAAGCAACATTCGAATATAAAATATCCAAAGCAACCATGTCTCTATCATCTTTCTATGTCACATAAGATAAGTTTGTTAATTAGTCTACAAACTGACCTAAGGATGATCTCACCAGAACATTAGTATGAACGTCCATAATCAAGCATATTTGTCCAGGGATATGCTTTTAGTTAATGAATCTAAATTGATTCCAGAAGAAAATGTGTTTGATGAAAGTGCAGTAAGGATCTCACCAATTGCAAAACAAAATGGCCATTTTCTTTCAAATCAGTAGCACCTTGGCATTGCATCTCAAGTGGGGAATAAAGGGAGTTGATATTGCATCTATGTAGCATAGGTCCGTTGTTTATTCAAAATCTTCTTGATGAAGAAGAATGCTGGAATATAAAATACTTCTATGAAAAAGGCGGTATTAGGCCGGAGAATTTCAAGAGTTTATGAAGAATTAATGACATATAGGGTATTGGTTCATGCCATTCAGTAGATCAGACATGTCTAATATGAATCTGCAGTATTGAAGGTATTAGGCTGGAGAATTTCAAGAGTTTATGAAGAATTAATGACATATAGGGTATTGGTTCATGCCAATCAGTAGATCAGACATGTCTAATATGAATCTGCAGTATTGAAGGTATTAGGCTGGAGAATTTCAAGAGTTTATGAAGTATTAATGACATATAGGGTATTGGTTCATGCCAATCAGTAGATCAGACATCTCTAATATGAATCTGCAGTATTGCAGTTCCGCCGATATCAGATAAATGTAGCCCCTTAACTAAAGCTAATTGAGTCTTGTTTGAGAAGAAATTCAAGCTACTAGAAAACCAAATGCATTGGGTGGATGCATCAACAGTCCTGAGAAACCAATAGTTCCTAAATTAATTGAACATTTCCCAATGAAACCAAACGACAAAATGAACCTGCAAATTAAACTGCTCATCCTTTGAGCTAATGGGATGTAATCTGTCGCAGTAGACTAATTATACAAACTCAAAACAAATTCATACTGCCTTTCAAACTGATGAAGAAACTTCAATATCTAAAGAAAACCCTTGCATATGTTAATACAAGGATTATTGCTACTTTGTTAGAGTTAGGGGTGTATAGGGACTTGCATACCGATACAACCTATAGAAGAACATGGTATTGGATACTAATATGCAAAACGGTATGAAACTGTGATAAACTGTACACTGATCAGAAAACTATCTAAATCATGGACAAAATCAAAAAGGAGAACGATAGCTATAGGAGTGGATGCTATATTATATTTTCTTTTGTCCTATCAAGTATCAACTAACTGTTCAAAACCCAAATAACATTTATTGAAAGTTGGATAGAAAGCATCATGTTCTCATGATCATAATCACAATTTAACACTAAAAAAACTTGCGAGCTTCTGCAACTTTGATTCTTTCAAGTGTGGCAAGGTTGCATGCATGGTGGACTCAGAACAAGAGTACTGGCACAGTAGTCTGCTTCCCAACTAAATGAAGAATTGCGATCTTTGTGGCAGGAAAGTTGTTGAGATGGAGCAATTTCCCTATGTATATCTTTGCTTTTAGTGTGGAACCAGGTGGACATTGACCAAGGATGCCGAGGGTAGAGTTTTTGGTGGCCAATTAGGCCTTGCTGAAAATGTCTACGTTCTATTGTATGTTTCAAGTCTCTAATATTGACCAGCAATAGAAAACTCAATACAAATCTCTTGAGATATATGGGTGTTACCCCTTATCAGAAAGAAGCCAAATGAAAATGGACTACTATTAATTGAATATTTTTACATCCTGTATTGATGGAAGGGAAGATGACTAATTTCTTGAAATGTCTCTCAACATTGTGATGGACAACTTCCCATGGTTTCAGTTCAGATTTACATTTTCCAGAACATTTAGCTGAGAAAAGGGGAGAGAGAGGGAGAAAATTATATGTTTTTTCAGTAAAAGGACGGTTGGATCAATTTCCCAGAAGAAGTAAATCAAGAAATTCAGCAAAAACATTAGTGTTGCTCGTCTTAGAAAAACCATATGTAGTACAACTCATCCAACAAAAGGAATCCTTCAGACAACACCTTAATCATTTCTTAGTATACTTATCATCCTTGAAAGCAATGCAGTCCAAGACAGGTTTATTTCTCCAATCCCACTAGATTTAGTCCTGAAACCCATCCGTAGTTTGAATTGATAACTTAAAAGTCTTAAATACCAGAAAAGGAGAAGAAAAAAAAAGTGAAACTACAATACTTTTGGCATATCGTGCATTAAATCAACCAAAAACAAATAAAAAAAAATAAAAGAGTAAAGAAAGAAATGCGGTAAGCTCGAAAAAAATAACAAGAAAAGCATGTACATATAGATAGACTTAACATTAAGTAGGCAACTGTTAAACAAGGGGAAAATCCACATCTGATTCTCAAACCATTTCTTATAAAAAGAGCTTGATACAAGAAAAAAAAACAGTGAGAGGACTATTTCCAGGAACTAGTGTTACAAAAACCCCGCATAAGAAAGGAAAGAAGAAGAAAAACCCTTACAACCCAAGGTAAGAGAAGAAAGAGGAGAAGAAGAATGATCATATTTGATCAAAATACAATGGTTTAATTAATTTCCTGACCTTTTCATCATCATTCACCAATCCTGTTTCTCCTCCAATCCAATCCAATCAGCCCACCAAAACCACAGAATTTCCTTTTCTATCACTCGACCTTCCGTATCTGAGCTTGAGTAGTTAACTAAAATGGAGGTCGAACAGCTGTGTTTCCGGTCCATCCATCAACTGGCAAATTAGGCATATTGAGAGGCAAATTGAAGAATGGAAGCCCGGAAGAGGGGTCCGGAAAAGCATGACTGCTAACCCCTCCTCCTCCACCTCCACCACCACCACCTGCAGCAGCAACAGAACCAGCTTGAGACACTGGTGGTTGAATCTGCAGTTGCTCATCTTCATCCAACGGCAACCTCTCATAAGCAACATTAGTAAACGACGCCGCGATAACGATAACCGGCCCAGCAGCCGTCAACTCTCCCACCACACTCACCACAACAACCTGGCCTTGCCCACCAGCCAAGAATATAGTCAAGCTCGTCGCGCCCGGTGGTGCAGGTGGAGGCAAAAAGGATCCCGAAAGCGATAGAATCTCAAACCTCCCATGCAGGGTTACTATAGAACCAGCTGCAGCTGGCTGTCGAAGACTAACATTTGTGACTGTTCCACTCCCACTGAGTATGCAGATCCCACGTTGCCTCCGACGAGCATAAGTCGAAACACAGTCAAAAATATCACAGCCATTGCCGACTTCAAGAATATGTGCTCTCAAAGTATTGGCGCTTTCCCTGGTTATAATCACTGGTGGTTTGGGCTTGTTCTTGGATCCCGGGGGTCGTCCTCGAGGCCTTCGACCTACGACATCCCCGGGACCCCCGGAATTTGCCCCTATAAGGTCGAGCTGATGGGATGCATCTGCATCTTGGTGATCATCACTGGGAAAATCATCTTCATCCTCTAGTGTTCTTTGAGTATTATGCTGGAGATGCAAGTCTGAAGGGCGGTGGTGGAGCTGCGGCTGTGGCTGCGGCTGGTGGTGGATGAAACGAGAAGCCGTGCTTAAATCTAAACCGGCCATGGTTTACAAGAACATCAAAAAAGAAATACTAACACAAAGCACGAACAACAGAAAACAAGGGAAAAAGTAAAAAAATATCAAAGTGGGAAATTTTAAAGAAAAGGAGTACAGTTTTTTTTTTTTCCCTTTTTTGTGGTAGTATATTTTATGGAGTGGGAGGGAAAAGATAAGGCAATAAAAAAAAAGATTAGAAAAAGAGCTCCGGAACTCGAACCCTAGATTTGAATAGAGATTAGAAAACAACTGCGGAAGATTTTGATTGCAGAGAAAGGGAAGGGAAGAAGGAGAGGAAGAGCAAGAGAGAGAGAGAGAGAGAAGGGACGGGATGGGACGGGAGGGGGACAAGGACTCGATACCAAGTCATTTCTCTCGCCCCAAATGCTTAAATATAGACTTAAAATATTGTCGAAGTTGAAAAATATTTCTTTACTCTAATGCCACTGCTACCATAATTTTGTCTTGACAAAGAAAGCTTTAAAGTGAGGTAAAACTATGTATAACGGTAAAATTCTATAGAGGTTAAGCTAACTTAACGCTATTAAGCCTCATTGGATTGAAACTTTTTAGAATTTGTATGACATGTGACGTGAGATTAAAAAAATAATTTAACAATGATTTTTTTAAAAAAAAATTCCGAAAAACTCGCAGATTTTTGGGAGTTTTAGAAGACTTACACAAGAGATTAGGATTGGAGGTAAAATTATGTAGTTAACCCCATAGTTAATCCAAGACATTTCATGTAGCGCGCGGGGTTAGACAAAGGCTTTTAGAAAATGGGATCCTTGTGGTAACAGCTTGTTAAGAAGACTTTGTTAAAGCTAGCTTAGCCATGGTAGGATTCGGATTAATTATTTAAAGAATATAATAGCTTTTGTTAACCCTATTTTATATTGAGAAATGAAGGAATGCTTATTGGCATAAATAAATGTTTTGCTATTGGATTCTGTTAGAAAAATTTATTCACGACTTTAAACTATGAATTTACGAGAAAAATTAATAAAGTAAAACCAAGGATGCAGCAGCATTGTAATGATAAATTAGTTAGATTTCAATATTAGGGGAGAGAGGGGGGAGCAATAAAGTACATGATATATATTAATTTTTATCACTTGCTACAGTGAAAAGAAATGGTTATTTAGAAATACAATAAAGTAAAACTCTACTCTTTCGTTTGGCCGAACTCATAAAAAATTTGGATTAATATGTCAACGAAGCTATTTCAGTGATTAATAATGAAAGAACATCATTCTTGTCATGAGGACAAGATTAGATTTGTTGATTTAAAAAAAAAAAACTTTTTAATGGTCTTTTAACCGTTCATTCTCAAGCTACTAGCTCTCCATAGAAGCAAAATTCTATAAAACTATAGAAGGCATGCAAATGGAAGCACTCCTCTATAACACATTTAGCTAACAACATGGATCACGCAATCTTCTCAAAATAATTAACATAGATTTCTGTTGCTTAATTTTGATCTCACTCCTTTTTTTTTTTTTTTTTTGTTAATGCCCTCTATTTGTTTCTTGAACTTTTGTTAAAATATATATATATACAAAGCAATTGATGTGTCATTAACAATTAATTGGAGTGCTTATAACGATGCTCATTATCAAGAAGCGGAGTGGGAGGAGGGAAGAGATCTGAATCCGTGACTCTAATTTCTGAGATCTCAACGTTAACGATCAAAATCTTCTCGACCCGAGAATCAACTTTATTCTCCATATCGAAGTGAAATTAACTCGGACCGTCGCGATTTACATTCTCTCTTCCATCTTTAAATGAGAGTAGTTATTCTATTACAAGCACATTAGCTTTTGGTAATCTGGTCCCCTCTCATTTTTGACTGTGAGGAAGACCTAGAATATTGTAACATCATCATGATTCCTCTAATGATCCTACATATGCTTTGAAACCTCCAAAACATAGCCATATGCCTGGAAATTAGGTGCAAATTGGATAGTTTTGGAGCTTTGGGAGGCGAGTACTTGGTCTGGAATTTGCTGGAAGTAGGGATTAAAGGAGTTTGATGGAATAATTAGAACAGCAGTTTAAATTTCAAGTTGCACGAGTTTAATTCATGCCCAGGGCACAATGTAGATCGATCCTTTGTTTAAGCAAATAAAACCTGGATTTATGTTGGGTCAATAGGATTACAATCATGATTAGATGCTGGTTTTGTTATTATCAGAGCTCAGACCTGTGTATTAATTGGACTTGGTGGGTCAAACCTGACTAATCAGGGTTAAGGGGGCTAAGTTGACGGTTATGCTGAGCTTAAACGTGAGGGAAGGTGTGACGAATTTTATATAGAGTAAATTGAGAGCGGGTGGGAATGGGCAAGTGGGAGATGGTGCTGCGGCCACTGGATCCCACTTTGTCCTCACTCTCCCACCTGGACGGCCCTATTCTTCCCCCCTTGGGCCATCCCTGTTTGACCGCCTTAATTGAATTCATTCATCCACCTTAATTGCAAATTAATCATCTTTTAGGTTATGGCGTGTTTGGACTTTACAATTTGTTTGTGCACACACAAGTTATCCCTAAAAATAGCTAAAAGTTGAGAGTCGAGAAATTAGAGGTTCTGACCAATTGGCTGAATCTGGTTGCTTTGTGGGTCCCCCTTAAATTGTTCGTTTGGACCGTTCTTTTGGTTCCCGCTGAGTGTTTAATCTAACTGTATGCGTGTGTTCTTGACTCACGGGTAAAAAAGAAATTAGAGGTTCTGGTTCAAATAGCCCTTCCCCCTCCTCTCAGAAAGAAAAGAAAAGAAAAATTGCATGAGTTTTTCCTTTTTTTTCTTCATTTTTGTTTTGTTTTGATAAAGTTTGTGGGAGGGAAATGTAAGAAGTAAGAAGGTTGGAAAGGAGAATCAGAGCAATAATAAACAATAAAATTTTGTTCCATACAAGACAAAACATAAGATATGTTTAAATTATGAACCATTTACTGCGCCATATTGTTTATCTTTTAAGCGTTGTTATTTGCCTTGACCAAAATACGTACTTTGGCATTCAGCATAAGCACTCTGATTGATTGTCAACTAAAGAGACAAATGTACTCATTTTGCATTTTGTTTAACATGATAACTTATAAAATATATTTTGTCGGCACTATTAATATTATAGAAATGTCAATCAGAAAAGAAATCTTTCCTTGAAAAATGTCAATATCTATTATTTGAAAATGGTATATGCTTTAATTATATACATCTTCACAACCTTTATGGATGTAGTCTTTTGTTTGATTTTCATGATCAGCTCTCAAAAGTATAAACTTTGACAAATTTGAGTGATAAGTATATAACATGCCTACGAAAAGCATTTATCAAATAAATTAATCATAGATTAAGCACTTTAATAACGTGATCTATTCTTTTTATTGTGGGTTTTTTTTTGGCATTTTTATTGTGGTTTTAATCATAACATTTTGAATTTTAAGCAAACAAGTTGTTCTAAATTAGAGGTTTTGGAATGAGAAGCTAATAAGGTCATTAACGAGTTGGAGCCACCACATTAAACAACACTATATTACCCCCACAAGAAAGGGAAAGAAGTTAAGGAAGATAAAGTTAAGGAAGATACGTTGGAAAGAAAAAATTAAGTACAAGTCATGATTTTTTCTTTCTTTTTTTTGCCTAACACAAATCTGGGAGACTTTAAGAATGGTTGGTTATTGGTGAAAAATATAATTTTTTTTAATCATTGGTGCTGAAGGAGTCTTATTCCGCAGGTTGATGGACGACCACGAAAACAAAATCATTCTTCTCAAACTATTCTGTCATCGAGGATTATATACGAGATTTATTATCCGGACCACCCTGTCCATGAATTATAGTGCAGTTTGCTCCATTGTTGGTGAATCCCATTTTCCTCAAACCTTCTCTTTCCACCACACATACATAATTGTAGACAATTAAAGATTGCCCCTCAAAAAGAATTCATGGACCTTTCCAAGAGAATTGTCTTGATACTGATTGACACACCCCCCCCCCCCTCCCTTAGCTAGAAGATAATTTTTGATTCTTCCCAATGATCTTCCAAGACCACTTTTTGTAATAGAATTTTATAAGGGAACAATTTTTGCAGGCTACAACTTTAAATAATAAGTGCTTTACCAAAACAAAAATTTGATAGCATATGATACAACTATCTAAATCACCAGGTCAATATTCCTTTCATTTAAGGGCAGCTATTAACTAGGTTAGTCTCGTGTCTCTTCCCCATAAGCTGGTTATTAGTGCAAAGATTAAAGCATAAAGTACAAAAGTTAAAAATCTGATTCTATGAATGAGTGCATATGATGAAATTTAAGCCACTTTTAAAAAAAAATTCCCCAAGAACATACTATTTACTAACTAGTTGTTTCATGTTGTTGTAATTATCAAAAGTTAGAAAATTTTCATGTAATTGTAATAATCAAACTCGTCGAATTTTAGGATACAACGAAATGTTAGTTTGAGGCCCGGAGATTTAAAAATCTTTAGTTCAAATCTCTTTTCCTCTTTTTATATTTTAGCCCTCCCCTATTAAAAAAAAAAAAGAGATAACAACAAAATGTTACGCCGTAGTTAATCAAAACAAACAGGAGACAATTGAGAATGAAGGATCAAAATTGAAGTTTGAAATGCATTTTTTGGCAATGAACTAAGGAGTGCGGACTTTACAGAGCTAGTGTTGCGCAGAAAGTCTTCTTTAGCAGACAAGTCAGAGGTTCAGAATTCGACTTTGGATCAAGCATAGCGTTTTCTTACGTGGACAGCCAAATTGAAGTTTGACCATGACTTACCTAACCATCTTAACAATTAGTAGTAGTTTATATCAATAATAAGAAGATAGCAGATTGGCCACCCAATCCACCAATAGATAAACTCTCTGATTATACAATTATGCATTATTGGAAGCAGTAATCATACATGGTGATGATATAGGCTGCACAAAGTTAAGGATTCAAGTGGGCATTAAGCCCATTTCTTATTAGTCTAAGTTTTTGTTTAATATGTTCGTTTTTATCTTGTTACAGCATCTTCTTCTTCTTTTTTTTTTTTACGGAAACATTTGGAATCGTATTGATATCAAAACAAGCTATACAACTTGAACAACGGCTCATAAGGAGCTTCACAATAGTGTTGTGTCGTTTGCTTAAGAAAATGTTACAACATCTTCTTAGCAAAACAAATAATATGAGAATGTTATATCGGTCTTGTATATGTAAAGAGCTTTGTTTTCCATATTAGACCAGAATTCTATTCTAGCTGCTTTCATTCTCCTTCCAATTTAAGAAAAGAACAAAAATTTTCTCCTCATAGATCATGCGTGACGATTTAGAAAGTAGCATTTC